AGATACATTGATCAATGGAACAGAATTGAGAGTCCAGAAATTAACCCATTCACGTACAGCCAACTGATTTTCAACAAAGTCCCTAAATATATCGTATGGAGAGGTGATAATGTCTTCAACAGATGGTGCTGGCAGAACTGGAAAGCAATATGCAAAAGATTGAAAGAAGACCTTTACCTCAAGCCTTATACAAAAACCAACTCCACATGGATTTAAGACCTAAATATGGATCCCAGAATTATGAAGGCCATCAATGAAAAAATAGCGACAAATGTGAGGCCTCTAATTCAGGTACTACACAGACTACCAAACATTTTGAAAACTACACAAACAAAAGTAGTCAAAATAGATGAGTGGGACATACTAAAAATTAAAAACTTATGTGCATCGAAAGACTTCACCAGAAGAGTAAAAAGGGAACCCACGGAATGGGAAAATATCTTTTGCAATGACACATCAGACAAGGGATTCCTTTCTAAAATATATAGGAATATTCCTCACCATTTTAAAATAACACTCTAAATATCCTATGTTGTCTTATTTTTTCATTATTTTTATTGTTTGGCTTTAAATTGGCTCAGAGATAATAAAAAGCTGAAGATATTTAGTTGTATGGGGTCACGTTGAACCAAAATTGACTCAGTGGTAACTAACAGTAATATTGCTTTTGAAATAATGGTGGTAGAATTTGAAGCAGTTAAGACTAGAATCTGAAGCTAAAATGCTTAGCTTGAATCCTGTCTGTGATCTGTATCATCTATATGACCTTAGGTAAGTCACTTAATAATATCCTCATGTTTCAATTTCCTCTGCTTTCAAACAGTAATTAATAATACATATTGCCTATGTTGTTATGAGCCTTAATTACACGAAGAGACTTCAAAATGTTCATGAAAAAAATGAAATTCAAAGATAGAATGATTCCATGAACTTTTGAAACTATCTGATGTATGAAAAATTAATATATGTAAAGTATTTACAGAAGAAATCTCATGTATTTTATGTCACATGTTTGTGCTGCTGCTGTTGCTATGATTATTATTTAAATAAAGCACATTAGGTGCTTAGAAACATGAACTCAAATGCTTTTATAGTCTAAAGTAATTATGGTAGAAAACAGACAACTAAAAGGAGATATAGTTTAAATTATACTGTGACAGATATTAGTAACTTCACTTTTTACTGAACTTTAAAAGAAACAGGTAGGAATGTTCATTACAAAAAAAAAAAATAAAGAAGAAATGCATTTGTCATTCTTCATTCTGTACAAAAAAGTACATAGCAGTTGACATGAATAAATTATACAATCTATTCACAATAGATAGATTCAATTCTTAATGAGATGGATTGGCACAAAAGCAACATCAATGGGCTCAAATGTAGCAATGGTAGTGAGGTTGACCCAGGACCGGGCAGTATTTCATTCTGTTGTGCATAGGGTCTCTGTGAGTCTGAAATGACTCGATGGCTCCTAACAATTCTTAATCAGTTGCTAGAATGCTCCTTTCAAAATATGACTAAGTCATTCTGCTCTAATCTCTCCACTTCACTCAGAATACAAGCATTTAAAATGGTCCAACTCCCAACATTCCAGTCCACTTCCACCTCTACCCTAGTCACAGCTACCTTTCAGACTTCAATTCCTAATATTCTCCTCATTCACTTTGCACTACCCATGCTGGCCTTCTTGATCTTTCTTAAATACATTGGACATACCTCAGAATCTTTGAACTGGCTGTGTGGAAAATGTTTTTTTTTTTTTCTTATGTAGCTCACTCTGTATCTCCTTCAAGTCTCTTTTCAACTCTTTCCTTCTAAATATGCTTACTCTCAATATCTTCTTTCACATAACAACTGCCTTGCCCTCCCTGTTTTCCAAATCATCTATCCATGCTCCACTTTTTCTTTAACCATTGAATTTATCACCTTCTGAAATAGTATATAGCCTACTCATTTACTGTGGTTATTGCTGTAGGATAAGCACTGGAGTGCTAACTGCAAGGTGGGTGGTTCATATCCAATCAAGCCACTCCTTGGTAACTCTATACAAAGTTGCTAAGAATTGGAACCAAATTGCCATGCATTTAACAACAATAAAACATTTACTGTCCTCCCCCGCTAGATGGGAAGAGCCATAAATCAGGCTATATTTGTTTTGTAGACCCATATATACCACATACATAGAAAATTATTTGTCAAATTACAGCTAATATATTCTAAATGAATTAAATCCATTTTTGGTGATGTATGTATGTGTGTGTATGTATGTATATATATATATAGCATATATATAACACAAAGTGACTATATCATTGAAAGAATATTAGTAAACTTGAATAGATTAACATTCACTGACAAAAAGAAAATATTAAAGCAGTATATTAGAGAGTTATAACAAATATCTCATGTGAATTTTAAATAAAAATGTTGATAATAGAAAGGATGAACAATTTTTCTTAAAATATTCTTACCTGGTGTGGCACTGTAAGATAAACACTGACCATAAGGTCAGTGTGAACCTATACAGAGTTGTTATGAGTCAGACCTGACCCAATGGCTCTTAACAACAACAACAACATATCCAATATAGTGCTTTGTGACATGAGATAAAGTTATTTCAAATGTTGCTATGTTCTGTTCTGCTAGATGAATTACCATGTATTTCCCCACTAACTTCTAAATTTCTGTGGGGTTTTTTGTTTGTTTTTTCCCTTTTTCCATCATTTGCATGTCCAATGTACCTATTGCATTAAAAAATATTCACCAGGTAAGTCAGTCATTGGAAAAAGAATATATATTTGGAGAAATAAGAGATAAATTAAGTAAGAGAAAATAGTTCAAATATTGATACTTTTATTAGTTTAGAAAATATATATGTTTTAGTTAAGCCAACTCTTCTCTTTATCTCATAGTTCTCTCCCCTTATTCATTATTTAAGCTGTAACTCTGTGCCATTAGATTGTGAAAACAATTTTGGAAAAAATTAGTCCAAATTAAAGCTTCTTTTCTCTCATTCTTTAATGTTTATGATATGTACTATGAAATTAGTACTATAATATGTATTACTCCCTAGTCATTCCATATAGTATACACTTTAATACTCCTTTATGCACTGACATATTGCTATGGTAAATTTGCTACAAAGTTCCTTGGATATATAGAGAGACTCTACCCTTAAAAATTTACTATAAACCCCTTGAAGTCAAGGACTACAAGGGCTAAGCACATAGATGGCTTCATTGTATACTTGATTTCTCATTCCCAGTTAAATGTGCTCTACTGTCTAATATAGTTGATGGAATATTGTTTTTGTTATGTGCCATTGAGTTGGTTCTGACTCATGGAAACCCAGTGTAGGGCTTCCAAGGAAAAGGACTGATGGGTTTGAACTGCTGACCTTGCAGTTAGCAGTGCAGTGCTTGGTTGATTTCTTTATATCTTAAACACACTGAGGGTTATTTTATAAGGCTGTCTTTCTCTTTTACAGGTATCTTACAGACTTTTTGAAGACATGGGCCTCTTTGAGGCATTTAAAATTCCTGTTAGGGAATTTATGAATTACTTTCATGCTTTGGAGATTGGATATAGAGATATCCCTTGTAAGTATAAGTTGCTTGTGGAATAGTATCTTTTCAATCTTTTAAATTTGCTGTTATTGGCTAGATTCTGCATCACCAACAACTAATACACACTGTAGATACTCAATAACAGGATATAGTGGTGAGAAGATAAGGCCTGCATTAGAATCCTGGCCCCTTTTCTTACCAGCTGTGTTCACCCTGACTTCTACATGCCCCATTTCTTTATTCATATAAAAATGTGATCATAATATTTACTCTTACTAATAATATGAGGATCGGATAATATTTTAAATGAGCTATAACACTTTGTACAGAAGTGACATTTAACTGATTAAATAACCAGATGTTACATTTACTGCTTACTTTATAATCTGTTTCTTTCTTTAGATGAGTGACTTTGTTCTGATATCTGAAAAGTTACCCAGCTAGGCCACTAAGTGTTGGTGCTTTCTTAATATAAGATAAACTTGGCTGTGAGTAGAAAATGAAAAAAAAGAATTATCCGTAAATGATTTTGGAAAAATACATAAATTGGAAAGATTTTAAATTCATAAATAAGAAGGTCCAAAGATAGGTCCATGATTTGCAGTACTCCAAGCATAATTTGCCATCAATAACAATGAGATATTGGAACACAGATGTGTTAAATAAGAATTTCAATATATAACATTTCTAGTCTTATCAGAACACACAAGTAGAACTGTCTTACATGCTGCAAAATATATGGAACTGAGGAAAATGTTCTTAGATCAAACCAGGGAAGTTCTAGAAATGTGTAGAAATTGTGTGATACTTTAAGAGAATAAATGTAAAGCATGAAAGATAGTAAAAAATTATACATTGTTTGGAGCATGTTACTTAGGAATACAAGGAACAAGCAGGCTCAAAAAGGAGAAGTAAACAGTTAAAAGTTTGTATGTGTAATATAAAATGTATGCTGAGTGAATGAATACTCCCCCTTCAATGTTTTATAAGATAAAATCTTGATATTTTTATATTACAAGATTTTTATTTTAGGACCTTAAAATGTTTTCATTTAAAAGGGGGGAAAGAGGAATGTGAGAGCACTGAGTGGCCTGGGAAAGTCAGGCTGATGTGGCCATGGACGTTGGAAGAAAGCTATGGAAAAGAGGTAGTTTGGAAGGACTGCAAAGTAAGCCCGGCTTTGTTAATGCCATTTTCCCAGGGTCCACTTTGTTTGGAAGCCTGTGAATTGACTAAGTGTCTGTGATATATCAGAAGTTAAGGAGTTAAATAAATAAGACTTAACAAAAACAATCAGGACATCTAGTCACCAGACTAAACTTCCAAATTAATGTTATGTTTCCATGTATATTTTAATGATTTATCTGCTGCTGCTGTGTGCCATCAAGTTGGTTCTGACTCATCGTGTCCTGTGTAGGGTTTTCAAGGCTGCGAATCTTTATGGGGGCAGAAGACCTTATCTTTCTCC